CCCGCCTGCGCTGCTGCCTGCCACTTCCCTTGACTGAGACCCAGTTCCTTGTTATGGTCAAACGGGATAACGAGAGCAACCCAAAGCTTTGGAGGCACTGGGGAGGTGGGCTTGGGAGAGCACCAGGTGATGCTGCTTGTGCTTCACTGCAGGGTTCCTGGTGGTGCTCCAAAGCCCAGCAGAACGTGGCGGAGCTGCCATGGCCAAGCCGCCGTGGCCATGCTGCGGTGCCCAGGTGCTGCTGCGGTGCCCAGGTGCTGCAGCGGTCCCATGGCGTCTTCTCTACCGGCCGGGATGTCTTGCTTCCCTGCATGAGGGACCTGTGCTGGGGACACGTGCTCTGGCATCGTGGGTCAGTGCCCACTCACACCCTGGTTGTGGGTCCCATGGATCAACCACCCCATGCTTCTCACTGGCAGGGACAGGAGATCTCAGGCGTGAGGGTTTCCTCCTCCCCCCAGAAACCCCCTCCGTAGCCCTGCAGCCCCACGCTCACCCCCCTGACTCCTGTCCGCAGGTGGAGGAAGGTGCTTTTGTCAAGGAAAACTTCGATGAGCTCTGCTGGACCCTGACCGCAAAGAAGAATTACAAGCCCGACCGGAACGGGAATAGCGTTATATCCCACCAAGACGCCTTCAGGCTCTGGTGTCTCTTCAACTTTCTGTCTGAAGACAAATACCCTCTCGTCATGGTGCCAGATGAGGTAGGACCTGCCTTTCCCCCCGGTCTCCATCCTCCCAGGGCTCCGTGCGCTGGCAGAGCCCCATTTGGGGATGACACATCCCGCTATCGCTTCCTGGCACATCCCACCACATCCTGCAAAACGGGGTGCGAGCGAGAGCCGGCCAGGGGTGCGAGGAGGGGGCTGTCTGCCCTGGCACCCCCTGCCATGCCCACGGCCACCCCCGCTGCCCAGGGAGAGGGGGGACTGGGAGCATCTGGGAGGACCCCTCCGAAATGCTGAAGCCTCTCAAGTACAGACGTCTCGGAGGATGAGGTGTGGGCTGGTCCACAGTACCCTTCCGTGGTCCAAGTCTACGCCAGCGAGCGCTTTTGTCTGCTGCGGGAGTACCGTCCCGGTTCTCAGAGCCCCAGCCGAGGAGCATCCGCAGCTCGGCTGCTCCTGGGGCTGCTCCCTCTCCAGAAGCCCTTCCACGTCACCCAAGGGCTGAGCTGAGCGCGGTGTCGGAGGACGACTCCTGATTTTCACGGGGGAGAGAAGATGACAAGAAACCCTTAAAGCCTGCTGCAGCGGGAGGTTACTCCCCATGAAGTCGCCGTCAGTGTGGACGGGGCTGTGCCCCTCGCACCGCTCGCAGCCTGTGCCACC